GGGCGATGCGTGCGCCCAGGTGCCCCCAGTTCATGCACAACACGGATTCTGCAAACTCCCGGCGGCTCACGCCTCCCGATCTCCGGCTCCTCCTCTCAGGGTCTGTGGCCGAAACGTCTGCCTCCAGGCGCTGCTCCTGCGGCCGCGAGTTGGCGTGTGGACGCCTGGGCACGCACACAGACACACACCCGCACACGCACACCCGCTGTAGCCTTGCGGCCACGGAACAATCAGGCGCGCGCAGCTTTTTCTCCGGGAGATGCCGCGGCAAACGCACCGGTAGCCAATTGAGTTGCAAGAGTCCCAGCCAAAGTCTGTCCTTTCATTTTAGGGTCCGGCCAAAGCGGGTAGCGAATTAAGTGGAAGACGCCCCCCGCAACGTTCTGCCGCGCGCCGGGTTCGCGAGGTGGGCCAATGGGCGACTGCCTCAGGGGAGACGCCGGCTCCCCCGCTACGCAACTCTTTCTTGCTCTCGCTCTCTTCGGATTGATCTCCCGCTTTTCCTCGCCTTTGCAGGGCGAAGGGCGAAGAGGAGCGAGGGCACCGCGGGCGCGGGGCTGGGGAGGGGCGAGAGCTCGGGGGTCCGCAGCGGCGACTCAGCTCCAGCGGTCCATGGCCGGCGAGGCCGCCCACCTCCTCCGAGGGTGCCCGGGTCCGAGGGGCGGGAAAGCGGGCAGGCGGGCGGTCCAGGGACACCGCGGCGGCGGCGGAAGGAGCTCGCTGGGCAACGGCCGCACCGAACGGGACTCCGGGCGGCGGAGGCGGCGCCTGGGAGCTCGTAGCAGCTTTCCACGCGATCCTGCGCCCCGAGACAGACTGACCGGCCGCGGGGACCGTGTCCCCCCCACCCACCCCCCGACCCTTCTGGCCAACTGCCTCCCTCCCTCCCTCTCTCTCTCCGGACTCCTCTTCCCTTAGTGTTCTCAGGGAAAAAAAAAAAAAATTAAGTTGCAGAACCAAAGGCGGCTGGAAAGAGAGAGGGAAGAGGGGGGAAAAAGAAAGGAAAAACTCAACTTTGCCTATGCGCATGCGTGGTGAGACCGGCCTATGACAAACTCCGCAGGATTTTAAAGCCGTACTACGGGCTGGGGTGCAGGAGGCGGGGTGCACCCCCCTCCGTGTGCCCCCTTCTCTGGGCTCCCCATCCCCCAGGCATCTGCTGGGAGAGGGAGAGGTCCGCACCGCAGCCGCTGCCTGCAGCCGCCTGCCTAGCTGCGCCCCTTCCAAGGCCACCGACCCGTGGGAGGCTGAACCCCAACTCCCCTGGCTGCTCCCCTTGGTTCGTCTATCCCGGACTGGGGCGCCGCAGACTAATGGCCCAACTTGGAACTTCGTGGGGGACCTGCTCCTCGCTCTCACCTCCGGGAGAGGGTGGGCGCGCGCATCCTGCAGGGGCCCCCAGTGTAGTCGGGGTACCCGGAGGCACGCTTGCTCTTCTGCCTCCGAGCCAGCGCACCTGGGCGTGACGCGTGGTCCTGCCGCGCGGAACTCGGAGGAAGCCCGCAGGTGAGAAGAGGGCGAAATTCGACAAAATCAGGTTTCAAGCACCGGAACTTCTAGACCCTTCCAGATCCCCGAGGTCGCTGGGACTCCAGAGGGGCGGGATGGCTGGGTGTGCGGCCCCCCACCCCCACCCGGGTCCTCCAGCACGCCAGGAGCGCCACCCCCAAACCGTGCCTCACGCGGGAGCGCAATTCCCGTTCGCCATCATGCCGCTCCTCCAGCTGCGGAAGGTGGAAGAAACACACACACATTCACTTTGCGCCATCCATCGGCATACCCTTGACCTTGAGTGCAAAATCTGTGGCCTGGGCCCTTCTGAGGGGTGGCTGCTGAGTTTCTCCCGTAACACCCAGGGTGCGCAGACCGAGGCTCCAGCGGCCCCCTTCCCGGTCCTGACTTACACAGCACCCTAGACCCCTCCCCAGCCTGGCTTCCAGCACACAGCCGCTGGAGAGGAGGCTCCAGCTCCTTCCGGCCTGCTCTGTCTTTCGCCTGGGACAGGAGCAGCCAGGAGGAGGAGGCGCTGAAGGTTCTCAGCGCTCTCCTGGACCACTTGGGGACCCATTTTCTCGTTCCCATGTGGCCTGCGATCTGTCCACCGGAAGTGAAATTCTAAAACAAGAGGGAGGTCTCTGCACCTGGCATCTCCTCTCCCCCACCCCACCACCACCCCCTAACCCCCAGTGGCCTCTGATGCCTAGGGCAGGCGAGCCAGCTGCACCCTTGGACCTCCATCTCCCCAACCCAGGCTCTGTGCAACGGTGCTGAAAAGTGGCAGGACATTTACTGGCTATGAATGGTGCTCCCAAAGGTCACAGGAGCCACCTGGCACCGGAGTGCCCTGGAGTCCAGAAGTACTTGGCCCACTGACCAAGGGCCCTTCACGGAGTTATCTGGATAACTGTCTCTGCTTTCCACTTGCCTTCACTTGCGTAGACACAGTGGCAGCTGTTGGATTCCCTGTTTTGCCGTCTTTTCTCTGGAGCTGGAGGTGTTGGGTGCTGGTTGAGGATGCCAGCTCTGCAGCCTGGAGTTCGAGCTCCTGCTCAGCCACTTTGCAGCTGTGAAAGCTTGGACCAAGCCTTGAGCCTCTGAGCACCTCCAAGTCCTCTTAAACACATGCACACAGAGACAACAGCGGAAACAGCATGGTCTACAGTGCAGGAGTGCCCGGGAGTGACAACAGATGACACTGAGAACCAGGGGAGTGCTGAGGGTGAGCCGTGGTGGCCGTGACCGCACTTAGCACGGGTCAGGTGCCTACCTGGCACTCAGTACTTGTTCTTCTAGAAAAAAAAAAGCAACTCTGAAAACAGGGGTCTTCAAATTCCTTTGGTGGCAAAACCGGACCTCAGTGACAAGGCCATTGATTGTCCTGATTTATTCCAATTTTTCACTGAAGGAAACATTAACATTTAATGCATGGGTACTTTCCCAGACTGGAAAAACATTAAGTGATAATGCCCCATTTTATCTTTCAAAATTTTTCAAAATTTCCAACAAACCTGTCTGGGTCAAAGGGCTTCAGATAAAGGGCAGTGACTTTTATCTGGAGATAGGGACCACAAGTGTGTGCAGTTTCTGCCCCCATGAACAATCAGCTTCATAGCAGCCGGGCCTCCTCTGTGCTCCTTGGGGCTGTAACCCCATTCCCAGAACAGGGCCTGGCACTTGGAGAGTGCTCATTCCTGGCCAGATGAATGGTTAAGGAGAGGAGCGAATTATTTCAGATGAGGTTGTCAAGGAGGGGCCAACTAGGAATCTCCTTTGAGTCTTCAGTGGGGAGTGAGGGTGAGGGCTTGCCCTGAGAGACAGGCTCAGTCAAAAGCACCATGCCATGGGGGACTGCTGATCGGGTTGGCTGGGAAATGACCAGAAAACTGGACTGAAAGAAAGTGCAAACCCAATAGTCCTCCAAGGGTGGGATTTCGTATTCCAAGCCTTGCGAACCCCATATAGACATTGGGGTCTGTGTGTTCACACAGAAGACACACCAGCAAGGCAACACCCCGTTCCACTTGCCAACATTTCTGAGTCTGTGGCACAAATGAATCAATATTTTCGGCTGCTCTCCCTACAGGGTTAGTTCACAAAGTGGAACACAAGATTAGGAATTTAGGAACGATTGCATCCCTGTGCCGCCTTTCCCAGCGGGAGAAAGCAGGGCCTGAGTTGCCATTCTGGGAAAATCTACCCTCTTTTTATGCCCCGCAAATAATATTTTATGGCCCTGGGTTTATGGTGGTGTTTGAATGATCTGCTGTAGAAAGCGGGGTTTCTCTCCAGTCACTAGAATTTGTCAAGAAGGGCTGCGGGCCATAAAAGAGGGACGGGCCCCGGGGACAAACAGGCTCCATCTTCTGAAATAAACTCATAAAGAGCCCCAAGATGTTTACTCCTTCGCCTCAGAGTCAAGACCAGCAGGGCTGTGTGAGAGGGGCCCCGCAGATGGAGCACTAAACAGGACAAAGAGGCCGGAAGGGGGCCGGGGGCTTCCACACCACCACATGGCCACAGTCAACGTAACCTGGTTGCATTGTGCTGCCACTGGCCCCCGGCCAGGGGGGCACAAAGGCTCCCTTGAGGTCAGGCCACATTCTGGGACTCTGGGCTGACCCAAGGGAGCTCCATGCACTAGGTCTGATCTCTGTGCCCTGTTCATTTGGAAGCTTCCTTTGATTTCTAAAGTCCCTGGTGCTTTTAGAGGGGCCTGGGTGGATGCTTTGACTTTGCATTGTTTTTGCTTCATACTAAGGGACACCAAGGTCAGCCAGATGATGGTCTGAATCCCAGCTCTGCCTCTTGCTGAGGGTCTGTACAGCAGTCACGGAGTCTTCCTAACCTCAATGTCCTTACCTGTAAAGCTATTAAGAGTGTTCTAACAATCGAGAATGAACAAAGGACCTGGGCCCAGCCTCTGTGCAGGCTGCAGGCTCAGAGAATGGCGGCTACTGGGATTATTTCACTTCCACAGTGTTTCAGGTGAAATCCAGAGACAAACGAGGAGCCTGGGGAGGGTAAGCGTTGGGTTAGGAGAAAAGAAACAGGCAATCATATGGTGACCTGCCCTCCCACAAGATGGAATTCAGTGAGGATGAGGCAGATGGGGGGGGGGTGGTAATAATGAGAAGTGAAGACACAACACCGGCTGCTAATATTTATTGAGTTCTTCCTATGCCTCAGTTGCCAACTGTGCCGAAACTCTGCATTCAGTGCTTTGCTTCTTGGGCCTGCACTACATGGAGGAAGGAGAAAGTTCAAAGAGGCCACAGTTTCTATCGGTCCAAGCTGTTTTACTGGGGCAGAAGTTGTGAATCCGAACCTCCACCCCGTTGCACTAAGTAACAAACCCAGGTACCTCGAGCATTGGCCACAGCAGAAAAAAAACCGATTCAAGTTCAGTTCAACAGAGTGGTCAAGGATTTGTTCTCACTTCCACTTCTGGTTTCCTCTGACCCCCCTGGCTTCCCTGGCCTCGCCCCCCCCCCCCCCCCGCCTCTTTCCACCACATTTACAAACGGCAGCATCTCTACTCAGCAGCACCTGGAATCCCTACCTTGCGCTGAGCAGTGTCATTGGAATTCCCTGCTCTCTGAAAAGCATCTGGGCTGTCGCCATTCCTGGGTCATCCCGGAAATGCCAGATGAGGGCATGCAGGCTCTCGCTCCTCTGTGCAGCTCCTGTCATGTCACTCCCCTGCTTCAAGCCCTTCAGGGACTGCGCGGAGGTCATCAGATAAACAAGTTCACGTGGCCCGCAAGGCTCAGAGGAGTGCATCCTGCTGTCTGCTCTTCCCGCTGCCTGAAACACTGTTCTTTCAGATCAGGGTGCCCTCATTCCCGCTAGGTCGGCTCCCCAATGTGCGGATCAGTCTAGAAGCAGACCCCACCCTCTCCCTGCTGTCGTCCTAATCGAAGATGCTCTTGTTTGCCCGCAGGCTTGGTTACTTGTCTATTTTGTTTGACCTCACTAGAAGGTAGCTCTCAGGAGGGATCTCCTCTGTCTTGCTCAAAGCTGGGACCACCCCCAGCACCTGGCACAGAAAATACACTCTGCATAAACGATGGAGGAATGGTCTTACCTGTGGCCCCATCACTGCTAAGCAGGTTTCAGCCTTCGTAATCAGACTCTACACATCCAGGACTTAACCATCACACATTGTCTACCTAGAAATAAAGAGAAAGCCAGTTTTTGGAAGGTGGGGCCCTCGTTACCCACAGGGGCTCCCACTGTTTCCCCTGAACTCTGCCACATGGGGCTTGCCTACAGTGAAAGGGTCTGGTCAGAGACTGCAGACAGGCAGTATCCCACTGATCCTTCTCTTCCGTCACGTACTTTTTATGAAGCATGGTCATTTGCTTAGGAAAGTCACTTTGGCATGGTCAGTCCCAGGAGGGAGCTCAGTACTGTCCACTCCTTATTCCAAAAGGGCCACTGCACACCCACAGGCTGGGATGAGAACATCGATGAACCATTTCCAGGAAACGCAAATCCCTGTACTCAAAGGAAGGAGCTGACTTTGCCTATTTTCTTTTAAATGAGAAAACACTGGGATTTCATTTTGCTTAATTTTATTATTAGTAGTATTTTTTGCAGTCATTAATATCACGTGTCTAAGTCTGTGTATTAAAGCTTTGGAAATACAATTGAGCTATCCTCAATGACTAATTTTGTCCCCAATCAAACCATTACACCGTCACACCCCTGGGTATGTAATAGCAGGTTTTTCAACAATTTGGCTAAGTTTCTTTCTCTGGAAGGGAAATCAAGAGAAATGAACTACTTTTCAAATGTTTCAGATTTAGGCATGCTTGCTGTGAAACTAGCCGGTAGAAGTGTAAGGGCTCATTAGAAAGCAGCTGGATAACGCTCACATTTGGTTCTAACTAGATTCTAATACAGATCAGATGTATCCTTACAGATAAGGAGCGAGAAACAGTCCTTTATGGTCACCTGGAAGGCTTAGCTTAGGACACATTTGGGTGAAATTTAAAATAGACTTTGCCTAAAGAAGAAAAATCCACCCTGGCATCTCTTGATAATGTAAGAGTATGAAAATTTCTCTTGGTCAATTTCTCCCATGTAACTTTTTAAAAAAAATTATATGTAAACATGTAAGTTGTTTTTAAATTGACAAAATTATATACATGTTTATGATACACAACATGATGCTTTGATGTATGTAAACATTTTGGAATGGCTACATCAAGCTGAGGAATGGATCTATTACCACATACTTGTTTCACTGTGATGGTAACTTTAAAAAGATCTGTTTTTCTTGTGATTTTCAAGCATTTGAATCTTGTTAGTCACTGCAGTCATAGTGTACAACAGAGCCCTTGAGCTCATTCCTTCTCTCTGAAATTTTTTTATCCTTTGACCTACAGCTCTCGGGCCTCACCGCCCCCCACCCCATCCCACCTGCCATTTGTCCCCACTTGCTAACCATTATTGTACTCTCTGCTTTGATGAGTTTGACTTTTTTACATTCTGAGTACAACTGAGGTTGTGCAGTATTTACCTTTTTGTGCACTTGGCCTATTCCACTTAGCATAATGTCCTCTAGGTTCATCTATGTTTTCCCAATGGCAAGATGTCATTTTAAAGGCTGAATAGTATTCCACGCACATCTGTATTTTCTTCATCCCTACTTCTGGTGATTCCCACTTAGGTTGATACTGTATAACTACTGGGAATCATGCTACAATGCATATGGAATGACAGCCAACTCTTTGCTATATTGATTTAATTTCCTTTGGATATATAAGAGTACTTTAGGAAGTTCATGGACAAAGGTATTAAAAGATAAATTTATATTGATAGGGTAATTTTAAAATCTACCATAGATTTTTCTTTTTTAAAAAGATTTATTTATTTATAACTTTAAGAACATGGTGATTCTTCCCACTGTACCCGCCCTTCTACCCACTGTTTCATATCTCCATAGATCTTTCTTAATAGCTATTTCCTATTAACTTTTTTTAAAAAAGATTTATTTATTCATTTGAAAGTCAGAGTTACACAGAGAGAGAAGGAGAGGCTGAGAGAGAGAGAGAGAAAGGTTTTCCATCCACTGCTTCACTCCCCAACTGGCCACAACAGCCTGAACTGCACCTATCTGAAGCCAGGAACCAGGAGTTTCATCTGAGTCTCCCACATGGGTGCAGGGCCCCAAGGACCTAGGCCATCTTCTTCTGTTTTCCCAGCCCATAGCAAAGAGCTGGATTGGAAGTAGAGCAGCCGGAACTTGAATTGGTGCCCATGTGGGATGCTGGCACTGCAGGCGGTGGCTTTACCCGCTATGCCACAGTGCTGGCCCCTTCTATGGACTTTTTAAATAAAGATCTTAACATGGATTTCAAAAATTTTTTCAACAAAATAAACTTATCTTTTAATTCCATTTCCTATGGACTTTTTAAAAGTGCTCTCATCTCCTTAGAAGAAGAATTGCTAGATCATATGATGGTTTTATTTCTAGCTTTTTGAAGAGTCTCCTGTCTTCTACAATGGCTGTACTAATCTGCATTCCTATCAATAGATGTGACACTTGATTTTTAATATCAAACCAGTGATAGAGAAAAATAATAAGACAGCCACACAACAGCAACATTTGCAAATGACAAGGACAGAGGCAAGCAATTCAGTTACCTGGTCTGCCTGACGCCAACCTGTGCACAAAACATGCATGAAGTTAACTGCAGTTTTTAATGTTTCAAGAACGTTGTCAGGACCAGCACTGTAGCATAGCGGGTAAAGCTGCCGCCTGCAGTGCTGGAATCCCATAAGGGCGCCAGTTCAAGTCCCAGCTGCTCCACTTCCCATTCAGCTCTTTGCCGTGGTCTGAGGAAGTTCTGTAGAAGATGGCCCAAGTCCTCGGGCCCCTGCGTCCACGTGGGAGACCTGGAAGAAGCTCCTGGCTCCTGGCTTCAGATCGGCGCAGTTCTAACTATTGCGGCCATCTGGGGAGTGAATCAGCAGATAAAGGACCTCTCTCTCTCTCTCTCTCAACCCCCCCCCCCCCGCACATGGCCTCTGCCTTTCTGTAACTTTGCCTTTCAAATAAGTAAATTCATCTTAAAAAAATGTTGCCACTACAGTAACTTCACATCTTACAGAATGTTAACTTGAATTATTCTAAAGTTTTCCTTTCCTTTCCTTTCCTTTCCTTTCCTTTCCTTTCCTTTCCTTTCCTTTCCTTTCCTTTCCTTTCCTTTCCTTTCCTTTCCTTTCCTTTCCTTTCCTTTCCTTTCCTTTCCTTTCCTTTCCTTTCCTTTCCTTTCCTTTCCTTTCCTTTCGACAGGCAGAGTTAGACAATGAGAAAGAGAGAGACAGAGAGAAAGGTCTTCCTTCTGTGGGTTCACCCCCTAAATGGCCACTACGGCTGGCATGCTGCGCCAATCCAAAGCCAGGAGCCAGGTGCTTCTCCTGGTCTCCCATGCGGGTGCAGGGCCCAAGGACTTGGGCCATCCTCCACTGCCTTCCCAGGCCACAGCAGAGAGCTGGACTGGAAGAGGAGCAACCGGGACAGAACCGGCGCCCCAACGGGGACTAGAACCCCGGGTGCCGGCACTGCAGGCAGAGGATTAGCCTAGCGAGCCACGGCGCCAGTCCCTAATGTTTTTCTTCTATGTGAATATTCTCAACCTTCTTAAACAGACCTGAAACAACCCTAAACAGCAGAATTAAATTCCAAATCCTTCTAATTTTGTATATACTGCTGCAGTCAATGGTAAATGACTCTGTTCTGGGTCCCAGGTTTGTCTGAAGAACTCAGCGGGCTGTGGGTGCAGGGTTGTGGTCCTCGATGCAGGGCTCTGTCAGTGCCTGCAAGGTCAGGTGACAATACATTGACTTTGAACACGAGGAACTCTGCCAGGACAAAAGATCCCGATGTCGCTGAATGTATCTAAAGTAAGTGGTTTGGACTTAAGCACAGATTTCTACTTAACCCAGAAGAAAAGCAGTCACCCTTTGGAAATACCACAGCATTCAGGAGAGTGAAATGAATGACGGCCAAGGATTAAATCGACCTATTCCGGCGGGTACATATATCTACCGAGTATATACAGGAACACGACGGCTCCACTCTCGCGTCATTTGTGGACAACCCTCTTCTGCTCAAGCCAGGGGCACGAGCCTCCCCCGTGGCCCCCAGTCCTTACTCATGGAGATATGTCATAACAGAGATTAGGGGTATGGAAGCGCCCTCCCTCCCTTGTGCGGCAGGCTCAGTTCCGGGAGCTTGGAAAACATCTCTTTGCTATTTGAAAATGGGACTCAATACGTAGATGATCAACATCTATTTCAAAATTCACCAACAGAAAATGAAAGTAAATCATAAATTTAGACAGTTTGTTGGGGCTAAATTATAACTACAAAAAATAAATCAAAGAGCAGCTTAAAACATATGGAAAGTACCAGCTACAGACACAACTGATTTGCTGTTCATTCATTCATTCCACTGTTTGCTCATTCAATAAATATTTAGGGATCATCTACTGTGTACCATCAACCATTCACTTAAGCATTTATAGCACACCCATTCATTCATTGACTCAGTACTGTATATGCCAGAAGAGGTTGACCTGTCCATTTTAGTCCACAGAGAGTTACTGAACACTGACAAAGTGTCAAACATGAACAGACTCTAGAGGGAAGCTCTCCATGCACAGGCGAGAGGGGAGCCCTCAAAGACTATTGGTAAGCATATCCGGGGTGTCCCTGCTGCTGGGGCAAGGGTGTTTGGCCCGTGGCCTCTTAGCTAAGTAGTTCTGGAAAAGGGCTCAAGGGGTTCAAAATCCAAGTTCAACATTATATATCCTCCCCATGCTGGCCAGCTAATGCTAGAAATCTATCCAAAGGGGTCCAGCAGGGCAGAGGGTCAGTGGACATTACAAGACAAACGCTCTGCAGTGGCCATTTTATTGCCCAGCAGAGCACTGTCATCTTATAGAAGGCTCAGAAAACAGAGACACTTTGGGTTCTGTTAGTGGTTAAGACAGGGAGATCTTATAAGCAAAACAGTCCCCCCATGTCTTTTTTTCTAACATCTCGACAACCTCATAGAAAATGGGATTATTCCCCATCCTCTCCAAAGTGCTTACTCTAGTCTGTGCTAAGTATTTTGTAGCCATATGTAATTGAGCCTGCCTTGATTATTAGTAAAAATTATTATTATTCCAATAAGCTCCGAGAAATGAAGCAACTTGCCCAAGGTCACACAAGTAGAATTTCTGCAATTTCTGTAAATAAGCAGCCTTGATTCCTAAGGGGGCAAAAGTAGAGGGAAGAAGCAGAGAAGGAGAGACAAAGGGAGAGACAAAGAAAGAGATGGGAGCTAAGAATCCTAAGAAGTGGAAGGGTGGAAGGAAGGGTTGGAGAAAGGAACCAAGGAGAAGACAAGGGCCAAGTCCATTCTCCCACAGGAGGAGTGGGGAAGAATTACATGGACTTTCTACTCTTTGACTATAAAAGATGAGTCTGCAGGATGCTAAACACCCATGCTTAAATCAAGATGGTCAACATTTTCCCATCACCATACACCTAACGAAGTACTCACAAGGACCAATCAGATTGCTTCTTTTTGTTTTTGTTTTGTTTTGAATCCAGCTCAGCAGTCTTATAATGATACATGCTGCAGTTTGTTTCTGGGCACCTTCCTTACATATCATTGGTTAATGATAGAGAGCTTTCACCTGGGCCATAACATCATGCCTTAAACATTTAAACAGTGTCACTCAAGTCGGAGGCTCAATTCTCATTTGGCTCATCTGTTTCTACTTCATTTGGGCAGCTGTCCAAAAAACAAACAAACCCCAACCAACAAACAAAAACTTCCCTCTAATTACCCACTATGTGCAAGAAATTATAAGCATTGAAGACACAGAGAGGAATGAGTGATGGCTCCTGTTCTCAAGGGCTCAAGGGAAAGCAGGATTTCTGGGCATGCGCAGTAATGGTGATGAGAGTAATATTATTAATGCTACACCGTGAGGTGTGTGGGAGACACAGCAAAGAGGAAAAGCAGAGCCACTACTAAAGATAGAAGACAGGCGTGGAGAGAGGGCCCCTGTCCGATGTCTGTCTAGCATGAATTTTCCCTTTCTCTCTAAGAGTACTTAGTAGATTCTCCTCTGAGGACCCATCTGCACTCTTTCTAGGCCGGGGGATTTGGTGGGGCTAGATCCACCCTTGACTCCAGGTAGTGTGTGTGGCATAGGCCTGGCCAATCAGTCCTGTGACACAGATTAGGCTACCAGAGACAGTCTCAGGACTTTTCTTCCCTCTTCTTTCCTTTTCCCTTCTTTCTTTTCTTTTCTCCCAGTAATGGGATCGGGGGACTATCTTCCCCTTGAGATTTCTAAGCTGGCTGGCTGTAGATGTGGAGTTTCCAGTAAGGGAGTTGGGAAGCACCTCATGACAAAAGCTGCTTTGAAAATAAAGAAGTACAGAAATCAGAAGAGCCCAGAAATGCAGAGAAAACTGAGGCCCTGGCACTCTGACCTTGCTGGAGCCCTTACAGCTCACTGTGTAAAATCAGTTTGACTTGATTTTCATCATTTGCAGTTGAAAGAATTCTGACAATACAACAATGTTTGCTTGTTTTAGGGAAATTAATGTTTAAGTCCAATAGGCAAGTGGGATTTAGGGTTAAATGGCAGATACCTGTTCCCTGCTGGGGTTGGGACCAGCCCTACAGAGACTAAAGAGGATTTGATCCAAGCCCATCCTCAGATTCCCTTCTTGTTGAGCCAGGAAGAAAGCATAGGAAGTGAACATTAATGTACAAATGGTGCGGTGTGGGAAGAGAGTCCATATGTGAGTCAGGCAGGGGGCTGGGGAGCGCTTTGAGGACAGGCCAGTGAGGTCGGAGCCAGGAAGACAGTGCGCGAGGGCCTCTCCTACAGCACTGGGAGGCTGTGAGCCGAATGGCGCGGCCTGGGACCTACACCTCCATCTACAGCACATCTGGACGTGGACGTACTGGGGACTATCAGTGGGAAAGTCAGCAACTGTCTTTTAAAAGTAGACTCAATTTCTGTGGTTTTTGCAGTGCTATTTCATTTGGAAACATAAATTAAATGGTTTAAGCAAACTAAATCCAGTAGGGGTTGACGTTGGGTCTTAAAATCCAAATTCTCAGAGGGCAGAATGCAGGACCTTAGATGCCCTTTGCTCATTAGAAATAAAACTTAAAATAACTACTTTCTTCTTCTGAATCCATCAGTTTCTTCCACGAGAAAATATTGCTAGCCTCCTGTGCGCCGGGCAGGACTACAGAGGCAGGCAAAAATCATATAAAATTCCCATACCTGTCTTCTTGCCTGCCCAAGAGATCGTTCTCCCTATGGTAGTGAATGAAGTCAGTCATTCCATAGGTCATTATTTGCACAAAGCCGTATAAATATATCTATTATACACAACAAAGTAAAAGCTCAGAAGGCAGACTATTCCAGGAACAGCTGTTCTATAAGGGGAAAATGGACAAATCAAGAATGCAAGATTGAACACGTTAAATGCTCTCTGCACATCTAAACATCATTTGGTTACTGCTTTGTTCAAAATGAAGAATCTATTCATTTCCTCCCCAGTACACTCAGGTCTGATAAACTCAGTTGATGCCAATGTTGCAAATGGTGGCTGTGGTCAGAGCCATGAGCCACACATAGTTTTTGAGCATTTGAAATGTGTCTTTACTCCAAAGGAAGACGAACCATAAGTATTCAATGAAATTGGTTTGCAAAGACAGTACAAAAAATTATAAAATATCTCATTATTAATTTCTATATTATTATACATTATAATGATGTATTAAAGCAAATGCATTACTAAAATAATTTTTTCCTGCTTCCTTTTACTTTTTAAAAGCATGGCTATTTAACAAACTTAAAGTTATATACAACATACCTCAAAAAGTTAATGGAGGGGCAGGTGTTAAGGCACAGCAGATTAAGCCACCACTTGAGAGGCCTGGATTCTACATCAAAGTGCTGGTTCCAGTCCCAGAACCTCTACTTCTGATCCAGTTTCTTGCTAATGCAAGGCAGCCAGAAGATGGCCCAAGTACTTACTTTCCTGTCATCCACATGGGGAGACCCTGACGGAGATCCTGGCTCCTGGCTTCAGCCTGGCCCATACCTTGCTGTTGCGGGCATTTGGGGAGTGAATTAGAGGATGGAAGATTTTCCCTCTCTCTCTCTTTCTCTCTGCCACTCTGTCTTTCAAATACATAAATAAATCTTGTTTCAGAAATTGGTGGGAAGCGGAACTAAAAGAAGGTTCAGAGGGATTGTTCAGCCTACTAGTGAAAATGCCCGTTTCCCACAGGGGAGCATTCAAGTTCAGTTCTCGGCTCCCGCACCTGGCTCCAACTTCCTGTCAGGGCAGATCCTGGGAGGCAGTGGTGATGGCTGAAGTAACTGCGTTCTAGCCACCCATGTGGGAGACCCGGATTTCATTCCTGGCTCCTGGCTCCAGCCCCAACCAAGGTGTGTATTTGGGGATTGAACCAAGGATAGGAGTTCCCTTGCTTCTCTCTCTCAAATTGAAAAGAGAGAGAGAGGGAGGGAGGGAGGGAGGGAGAGAGTTTATTTTGGTGCAAATATTTTTGAAATCCATGTATACAAAGGATCTTGAAAAAGTTCATGGGAAATGTGCACCATGAAAAAACTGCATGAATTTCAAAAATATAATTGCAAGAAAACAATCTTATCTTAATTCTTTTCCACAAACTTTGCAGATTATCTTCATATGCACCATTAATTATTATTGAAATCTTTAAAATCTATTTGAGAGGGAGAGAGAAAGAGAGGCAGAGAGAGGTCCCATTCACTGATTCATTCCCCAATTGTCAGGCTGGGGCCAGAGCCAGGAGCCTGGATCCCAGTAAAGGTCTCTCAGTTGGATGGGAGGAACCATTAGCAGGAAGCTGGAGTCAGGAGCTGGAACCGGAGTGGAACACAGGGACACCAATGTGGCACACGGCCATCTTAACTGCTAAACTAAATGCCCACTCCCTCACACGCTATTTTCTCTTGACCAAAATGGAATTCTGGAATCAGAGTGAGGACTGGGCACTGGCTTCTCTATTGAGTAACTGAGTGGTACTGATGAGGTTCCTTGACCTCACCAAACCTTGTTTTCTCTTCTGAGGCTAACAAGAGAAGAAGACTTACAAGAGACTACCATCAGCACCTACCTCACTGGGGCCGCTGTGACTACGAAATGAGGAAACATAGTCACTGTGCTGAGCATACACTGGCATGTAGTTCTCTCTTGCCAATGCCAACTCTTCAGAGCTTCTCCATAGTAATGCACCTGGAAAATGGGGACGATTGGGTTCAATTAGCAGTGACAGAAAAATGCACTACAGGAAGCTACATAAATCCCTGGTACAAAGTTGCTTCCTTTGGATTTTCTATCTTCCTAAATCCAAGCACTCACAAAACGAGGCTTTGGAGAATGGCTGACTGTGGGCAGCTATGTTCCCGCCATGCCCAAGCTCTGATGTGCTGGGTTTTTGGTTGATGAAGGACTATTTACTGCAATGCTTCGTGCACTGGAGAACACAGGCACTTATTACCATTATGCATAGTATTAACATGGCTCACAGAGTTCCTGACAGCTTGCCACGTGCTAGACATGTATTCAGGTTAAAGGTAATGCAGAAAAGCTGAGTGATTTGATAGGGGTCACCCAGATGGAAATGGCAGAGACAGGGCTCAACCCAGGTCTGTGGGACCCAAAGTCAGACGCTGTATTACAGAAGCAGAAACACTCTGAGAAACTGCCTGTGGCCCTCACATCACAGCTCCTTCCTCAGAACTCGTGTCCTGTTTAGACAGAGGAGAAGGCTAGGTTTACCACATGACACTGAGATTTGGTATTAACAGAGAACCAGAGAGTTCTGAGGGATGGGAAGTTCTGCTTTCAAAAGGGGACATTCCTGAGTTATACAGAAGCAGAGAAACCTGCGTGTTATGCTGGCTCCATTCAATGAGACCCTACCTGTCTGTGGCCCTGCAACATTCCCAACGTGAACCACAAAAAACATTGAACTTTTTCTCTCTTGATAATTTTCTAGGCTTTTACAAACATGACCCCATCAACCCAGTCAATACCCAGATGAGACAGGTGGTTGGAAGTTATTATGATCCCTTTAAGATAGAAAACCTGAAGCCAGGAGAGAATAAGCAATTAGTCCAAGGTCAAATGTTGAGCCAGAGACAGACCTGGGAATGCAACAATTACCTTCTGAAATTCTAATCAAATGCACAAACTGATTGGCTAGCTACCAGCAGGTGCTGATGGCCAGTTATCTGCCATTGACAGAAAACCACTGTCTTTTAAACAAGATCTCTGGACTGGCACAGTTTGGTTTAACAACAATGATGACCAAACTTACATCATGTGGTTTCCAAAGTATCAGCTGAAAGCAACACATCTTCTTGCTCCAACTGGAGTATCCAGCTTACGAAGCGCTGTTGCATTTACTCATGCCTCCCAGCACCACTTAGAAAGACAGCGGGAGCGCTGCTCAACATAGAAGTCTTGCTGCTGGTGTCCTGCTCTTTAGAGATGATCAGAAGCACGTGAAAAGCGTTAGCGGGCAACTTGCAATGACTCTGATGTTGACATGGAGAAGAGATGAACAAGAACTAGCTTTGAATGATACAGAAGCTGAAATGTAATTACTCACCTTTGAGTTTATCCTCAGCCAATTGTCCATTACTCTTCAGCTGAACAGGCTCAGCAGTAGGGGAAGCTGTGTGATCCAAGGTCATGGGCTGGGGCGAGGGAAGACTTAGAGGTGAGCCAGGAGGCATCCGAGCTTTGAGCTAATAATCCCCAGGGCACATGCACAGACAACTGTTTTACGGAGGAAAGTGCTGTTAATGGTCCCTCTCATGCAATCTTGCAGAATGCTCTGCTCCTCCAAATACCTGGAGCAAACCGTTTATTCCTTGTTGTCTGTCTGGGTCTTTGGTGATTTAAAATCAACTCTGCTGCTATCAATTTTGACCGCTTTGGGGCAAAGTGAGACTTCAGGGAAGCTGTTATCATCAGGAGAAAAGATAGGAGGACATTGACCCTTTTATGAATGGCCACATGCCATGCTCTGAGCTGATTCCTTAAGAATTCACAGTGGCCCCTTTTGGATTTGTTCAATTTCAGTTTTTTTTGAGCAGCCTAATCTGACTCTAAGAGAAATTTTTCTTCCTTGATTTCCTAAATTCTGGAAGCTCAGGAAATTTGGGACTGATCACCCTAAGAAATTCTAGTTCTGGGGGTGGGTGTTTGTCACAGTGGTTAGGTCACCACTGGGGACACTCACATCCCACATTCTAGTCTGGGTATTAAGTCTGGATTTGGGTCTGCTTCCAGCTTCCTGCTACGGTGCACCCTGACCGGCATGGTGACGGCTCAAGTATTTGGGTCCCTGCTACCCTTGTGGGAGTCCTAGATTGAGTTCTCTACACCTGGCTTCAGCCTGGCCCGGCCCTGGCTGTTGCAGGCATTTGAGGTGATGAACCAGAGGAGGGAAGATGTCTCTCTTTCTGTCTCTCTCTCTATTACAAAGAAATTAAATTTTTTTTTAATTCCAGTACTCTTTCCTTTCACTGCACAACCCGCTAATCCTCTTGTCAATCCTCTGTGTCCTGTGCTTGGTGTTCAGCTCCTTCCAGAAAAAGCAAATGCAGCCTAAGCCTGCTATAGGGATGCTGTCTTGCTAACACAAGCCATTGCAAGGGAAAGATATCAAGAATTATGCATTTTCTTATTTTCAAAAATCAAATCCTTTGGGGGACTCCAAACTCAAGACAGCTCACCTCTACCTCCATTTTCTGAAACCAGGACATCGTCAACTAGATTTGGAAACCAAGCCCAACACCTTCAATGGAGGACCTTGAGCATTTCCCTATGTCTTCATAGTTCCCAAAGTCCTAGCAGGTTGCTGTCTTGGGATATTTTCATACAACTCATTACATTGCCTTGTTTGAAGGATGCCGAACAGCATGGCAGCATTTCCAAACAATCATTCTGTAAAATCAACTAAGAAGAGTAACTGCATCACCAAAGGAATATAGACAAATAAATGCCATGGATTTTGGCCACAGGTAAGGCTACTAACTCCCAGCCAACACATGGCTAATCCTAAAGCCTTAATTTCTTCTGACAGAGGTGTGTGAATCTGCAGCCATTGGTGGAAAGGGGAAATGGTCCCTTCCCAAACAAAGGCTTTGCGTGGTGCTTCGGCCACACCAGGGTCATTCTTGTTTCTCTTTTTCTAACCAGGCACACAGTTCTTATCATCCAAGTGGGGCAGGTCTTTCCTGCCTTTTAAAAACCTGGTGTTTTATTGTCTAAAACCCTTGCTCTCTACTTGAGTTCATGTGTTTTGTGGAAGTACAAGTGGTAATTACACAAGTCTTTCCTTCCCTGTCATTGGCAACAGTCACCAGGGAAATTTACAGCCCCCAATATCCAGATCTGGAAACTGGTTATTAAACGTGGTTGAGCAAAAACCTGACGTGGCAAATGGGATCTGAAGCAGGGACCAGCTCGGCTGCCGCAGTGGGAGAATGGCTGGGAGTCAGCAAGTGATCCTCAATTTCATTTCAACAAACACTGTCATTGTTTGAGAGTGTTCCTGCTAATCATTGCATCACTTCCATTCGTTTAGGATCTATTATGTGGCTGGCATTGTGTGAGGTACACATTGGATTCTTGTTAAGAAAAAAAGAGAAAGAAAACTTTTGGGACTGAATTACAATTTTAGGTTGTGGGAACAACTCAGGCAGGGCAGCCAACCTAGGGTTACCTGTGTGGCATGTGGTGGAGAAGGGCGTTTTGAACTCCGATACACTCAGAGGTCTGGTGGGGAGCCCACGGCGGTGAAGCTGCGCAGGTGTAGCCTTTTCAAGAGCAATGAGGACAATGAGAGACAGCAAGTGCGAGGACACTTCAAAATGTCCCTGGAAAAAGGGTCTTAAAAAGTAAGTTCACTTGGGTGCCAAGACATCTGGAAACCCATACATTTTTTTTTAATAACAGGTGCTTTTTCATGAGCTTTTTGACGATGCCTTGGATGCATGCATTGCGTTTTCCACAGACTTCTTGAAGCACCCTGGTATATATTTACGGCTCCCCCGAGCTCCAGACTCCCAGCTTACTACTACTGCTTACTCAAAAACTTAAAATTTCATTTATTTGAGAGGAAGAAAGAGAGAGACACAGACAGAGAGACACAGAGCGAGCTGTCATCTAGTGGTTCACTTTCCAAATGCCTGTAAGGTCAGGGCTGGGCCACAGCCCGAATCAGGAGCCAGAAATTCAATCCAGGTCTCCCACGTGAGTGGCAGGGACTCAGTTGAACCATTACTGCTGCCTCCAGGGTCTGCATTAGCAGCAATCAGGAGCCTAACCAGGAATCAAATCCAGACACTCCAGTGTCGGAAGGAGGCATCTTAACCACTACGCTATATGCCCACGCTGGGTCAAAATTTTTTTTTACTAACCAAACAAGAAATACCTGAAGCCTATATTTAACCCACAGGCCCTAGTTTTCCAAACTCTGTGATTTGAAACTGAATTAAAATTAAAATTTGTAGTGTGCAACTTTAAAATGAGATATAAGATGCAGACAGCAAACTACTCAAGTTATAAGTATAGCGTTTAATACATTTTCACGGCCGGCACCGCGGCTCACTAGGCTAATCCTCCACCTTGCGGCACCGGCACACCGGGTTCTAGTCCCGGTCGGGGCGCCGGATTCTGTCCCGGTTGCCCCTCTTCCAGGCCAGCTCTCTGCTGTGGCCAGGGAGTGCAGTGGAGGATGGCCCAAGTGCTTGGGCCCTGCACCCCATGGGAGACCAGGATAAGTACCTGGCTCCTGCCATCGGATCAGCGTGGTGCGCTGGCTGCAGCGCGCCAGCCGCGGCGGCCATTGGAGGGTGAACCAACAGCAAAGGAAGACCTTTCTCTCTGTCTCTCTCTCTCTCACTGTCCACTCTGCCTGTCAAAACAAACAAACAAAAAATACATTTTCACAAACTAAACCAAACCTGGGCCAGTACTTTGGTGCTGCAGGTTGAACTGTCGCCTGCAAGACCGGCATTCCATATCAGTGCTGGTTCCAGTTCCCTGCTAATGCACTTGGGAAGGCAGTAGAGGATGGCCCAGGTACTTGGGCCCCTGCCATCCACATGGGAGACCCAGATGGAGCTTTGGACTCCTTGCTTTAGTCTGGCCCTAGCTGTTAACAGCCATTTGGGGAGTGAGCCAGTGGGTGGAAGATGGATCTCTCTCTCTCTCTCTCTCTTTTTAAAATAAATAAATAAAGCAAATTTTTTAAAAGGCACACACACACAAACAAAAACAAATAACTCCTTTCCAGGTCAAGAATTCGGACTCCTAACCCCACAGATAAATTTTGTCATTTTCTTAGCTATGAATGGGATTCTCACAGCATATTTTTTCATTCATCTTGTGGCACATAACAATACTTCCTTCTGAAGAGCTTTCCTTCACAAATCTGTCACTTGATATAGTCACCTGGATACCTTATACCTGAGCAATTAAAGAGAAAAACTTCCTTCCCTGAACACAGCTTTTAAAACTTCAAATGAGGAGACCTAGGACTTTGTTCAAAGTGTGGGGTGAGTTTTGCTGTTAAGATATTTTTTCTAAACATTTTCTTATTTACTGTCCCTGACACCCCGTGTCAGGTATTAAATGGCTATATTAATAAAGTTTTTTTTTTTTTTTTTGACAGGCAGAGTGGACAGTGAGAGAGAGAGACAGAGAGAAAGGTCTTCCTTTGCCGTTGGTTCACCCTCCAATGGCCGCCGCGGTTGGCGTGCTGCGGCCGGCGCACCGCGCTGATCCGATGGCAGGAGCCAGGAGCCAGGTGCTTTTCCTGGTCTCCCATGGGGTGCAGGGCCCAAGCACCTGGGCCATCCTCCACTGCACTCCCTGGCCACAGCAGAGGGCTGGCCTGGAAGAGGGGCAACCGGGACAGAATCCGGCGCCCCTACCGGGACTAGAACCCGGTGTGCCGGCGCCGCTAGGCGGAGGATTAGCCTAGTGAGCCGCGGCACCGGCCTATATTAATAAAGTTGTATTCAGAAACAGAAACCCCACCATACAGGGGATGTCAAAAATCTATAGCAAACGCATTAGGAAAGAACTGTGCATGGCTTTCAAAATTGTTTGGCCCAACTAAATGTATCTTTCAATTTCATTTTTCCATGAACCTTGTAAAGTACTCTGGTATGAACACATGCTTCTCCAAGAACAAGTGAGGCTAAATAATTATACTGGGGGGATTTCCATGGTGGTGGCTTTATGACAATCTGATGCTGTTTTCACTTGAACATACACCCTTGTTGCTCCTCTCTGGGTCCACACTCCATCGAAAGGCAGACTTAAAGCACTCTGTACGGCGTGCATCTTGCTGTGTGCCTTTCATGAGTGTCTGCCAAGCATCCATTCTCTCTTGGGACTGTACCTTTTCCCCTTTGTCAACCCCAAGGGTCCATGATGAGTAGGCCCTTGAAATCATTTTAGTTGGTCCATGGACACAGCCTTAAATAACCCACAGCCTGGAGCCAGTGCTGTGGCAAACCAAGTTAAACCATCACCTGTGATGCTGGCATCCAAAATGGGCACTGGCTCATGTCCTTTTGGTTGACCTCCCGGCGAATGGCATGGCAAAAGCAGAAGATGGCCCCTGTCGCTCCCCCTCTTCGTGGAGGAACGACACAGGACCCTGCGCTGTTCTTTCGTCTGCTCGGCCCTCCCCGGGTTTGCTGCTGGTTCTTCCTGGGTTGGCTACTGTCCCTTCCACCTCCGTGGAAGGGCGGTTCTCCCTGGCCACTTTCCCCACTTCCGCAGGGGAGCGGCACTCCGCCGGCCGGCTCTCTCGGGGGCTGCACAGGTGTTCCCCTTAGATGTTCCCCTTAGATGTTCCTGGTGCATGCCGTCTCTCTCCTCCTATATAGTCCTCTTCCACCAATCCCAACTCGGCTGCCCACACGCCGAGCACGCTGCTCTCCTCCAATCAGGAGCAAGTCCTACAGTTTATTGGCTGAACTGGAGGCAGCTGTGTAGAAGCTGTTTTCTTCTCTCCCAGCGCCATATTGTGGGAGAGCAGATGCATAGAATAAGTCTTAATTCCAGTAACAGTATAGTCCGAGTTGCTCCCCACAGATCCCTCTTTCTTTTTATTTTTTGGTGTTGATACGCGCCTGTCTTCGGTGTCCCGCGGCACACACTCTGCTCTACTTGCTAGAGTTGCCACAGGTTCTTACAAGTCCTATCAATCAGGCAAACCGAATCCGGGTCCTCTCTTCGCCATGTTGTGAGGAGGTTTTTAGGCGCTGATGCGTGCCTGTCTTCGGTGACCTGCGGCTCATACTCTGGTCGAGCCGCCTGCTGGTGCTTACCACCTTACTAATCAGGCAGACCGAATCCAAGCTCTCTCATTGCCATGTTGTGGGGAGGCTTATTGGTGTTGATTCGTGCCTATCTTCGGTGACCTGCAGCTCATACTCTGGTCGAGCTGCCTACTGGTGCTTACCGCCTTACTAATCAGGCAGACCGAATCCAAGCCTTCTCATTGCGGTATTGTGGGGAGACTATTGATGTTAATAACGTGCCTGTCTTCGGTGACCTGCGGCGCATAAGCTGCTAGCCGCCCGCAGGTGCTCATCGCCTCACTAATCAGGCAGACCGAATCCAAGCCTTCTCATTGCAGTATTGTGGGGAGGCCTTTCTATTTCTCTATTTCTCTATCTCCGGGCATTCCTATTTCTCCCATTTTACTTCTGTCTGCCAACATTCCTATTTCTCTCATTTTACTTCTAAACTTCTGTTTCTCTTATCCCTGCGGCTTCCCGGCACCCGCCCCGAGGCTGCTTCTCAGCGGCTTCCCGGCTGAGCCACTTCAGCCCGCTTCTCTTATCTGCGCGGCTTCGCGGCTCTGCGCGGCTCGGCTTCGCGCGCACACTCCGCGGTCTCGCACTAGCCCAGCGTTCCCTATCTACTTGTGCCCCGCATGCTCTCTCTGCGTGCGGCAGCCTCCGCGAGTCACACAGCGTAGCTTATGTCTCCGCCACTAGCATTCAATCCAAGTTCCCCGGGCTAACCTGGCAAATTCAACCCAGCTCACGTCTCCGCCCCACGATTTGGCTTCCCGTCCTTTGCTCCCCGGGCTAATCAGACGGATCCCAATCGGGCTTACGTTTCCGCTTCTGGTTTTAACTTTTCGCCCCCTATTCCCGGGCTAACTTGAGAATCCCAAAGTGGCTTTCGTCTCTGCCTCGGCCTGCCCCCTGCGGCTTCAATTTCCCTAACATTTTTCTCTACCCGGTATGTTTCCCTAAGTTTTCTTCCAACAATATTCCTCCCTCATTTCTCCTGGCCTCTCCCCACAGTCTGCATCCGAGTCTGTTTGTTCTAGCTTTCACTTTCGCTTTCGACCTTAGAGATTTCTCCCAGCTTCCCCCCGTAGTCCGTATCCGAGTCTATGCCTAGGCTTTCAATAGCTTCTTCCGGCACCTTTTTCATCCGGCTTTTCCCTAGGCTGTTTGCTAGTCTCTCTCTCTGGTATTTTCCCATTTCTTCCCGTTTCTTCCCTCCTAAGTTTCCTATCCGAGTCACGGCACCATTATGTCGCTCCCCCTCTTCGTGGAGGAACGACACAGGACCCTGTGCTGTTCTTTCGTCTGCTCGGCCCTCCCCGGGTTTGCTGCTGGTTCTTCCTGTGTTGGCTACTGTCCCTTCCACCTCCGTGGAAGGGCGGTTCCCCCTGGCCACTTTCCCCACTTCCGCAGGGGAGCGGCACTCCGCCGGCCGGCTCTCTCGGGGGCTGCACAGGTGTTCCCCTTAGATGTTCCCCTTAGATGTTCCTGGTGCATGCCGTCTCTCTCCTCCTATATAGTCCTCTTCCACCAATCCCAACTCGGCTGCCCACACGCCGAGCACGCTGCTCTCCTCCAATCAGGAGCAAGTCCTACAGTTTATTGGCTGAACTGGAGGCAGCTGTGTAGAAGCTGTTTTCTTCTCTCCCAGCGCCATATTGTGGGAGAGCAGATGCATAGAATAAGTCTTAATTCCAGTAACAGTATAGTCCGAGTTGCTCCCCACAGGCCCCAGTGTTTGGGCCCCAGCAACCACATGGAAGAGACCTAGATAAAGCTCCTGGCTCCTGGCCTTGGCCTGGCCCAGCCCCAGTTGTTGTGACCATCTGGGGAGTGAACCAGCAGATGGAAGCTCTCTGTCTCTTCCCCTCTCTCTGTAACTCTGCGTTTCAAATAAGTAAATCTTAAAACAAAACAAAACACCTATAGCCTGGAGCCACAGGGTTAAATATTCTTCAGTGGTCATTTTCCATCCTTTTGATTCTGTAACAAGGCCCTAGAAACCCTCTGTACCTTTGCCAATCTCCCCTTAACCAAGAAAAAGAAGGCCTTGGGCTCAGAGCTCCTCCTTTGTTGTTTTTAATTCTTTTATTTGGGGACATCTGTTTATGTACAAAAAATTCTTTCTTATTGATGAGGGTGGGATTGTTTAACTTCAAATGAATTGCTTAAGTCAAACTACATATTGTTTTCAGGCACAGCACACACTGGCAGAGTGGCATTCGAATGACCGAAGTTGGGAACCAATGGCCAATAGCATTAGGCCCCTACCCGCTAGTGTGGCAGCCAAAGCCCTCCTTCACCCGAGACACCTGTTCAGTCCCATCGCCAGATGTCCCATCCATCTGCAACCCCCTGGATGACCAAGGACACTTGGGAAGCCACAAATGCTGATGCCCAGGGACTGAGGGCTTAGAAGAAATGTGAGAAGCCCATGGGTAGCAAGGTGGAATCCAAGGTACAAGCACAGCCATCCTGTCCCTGTAGGGGACTGGCTCCAGGACCCCTGAGGATAAGAAGAATCTACAGAGGCTCAAGTCCTATATATAGGGCAGTGTGATATTTGCTATTTTTCTTTAAACTTATTTACTTATTTGAAAGGCAGAGTTACAGAGAGGCAGAGGCAGAGGCAGGGAGAGAGAGAAAATTTCATCTGTTGGTTCACTCCCCAAATGGCTGCAAAGGCCAGAGCTTGGATGATCCAAAGCCAGGAGCCAGGAGTTTATTTTGGGTCTCCCATGTTCCAAAGCCAGGAGCCAGGAGTTTATTTTGGGTCTCCCATGTGGGTACAGGGGCCCAAGGACTTGGCCCATCTTCCACTGCTTTCCCAGGCCACAGCAGAGAGCTGGATCAGAAGTCGAGCAGCCAGGTCTCGAACCGGCGTCCATATGGGAGGCCAGCACCGCAGGCAGAGGCTTTACCCAGTATGCCACAGCGCCTGCCCCAATATTTGCTTATAATCTACCCACATCATCCTGTATACTTGCAATCATCTCTAGATTAATTATAATACCTCATACAACATAAATGCTAGGTAAATAGTTGTTATACTGCATTATTCATGGAATAAGTACAAGGGAAAAAGTCTATCCATGTTCAGCAAACAATTTTTTGAACCTTTTTTGATCAGCTATTGTCTATATCTAAGGATGCGGGATCCACAGACAGAGGGTCCCCATACTACACCTTGTCTAGGCCCCCATGCCACGTGTGGCTTGACCTCCACTGTGTGGTGGTGCACTCTCTTACCCTACAGGTCAACCGCATTGGTCAATGATGAAGCAGCCAGTTCCTTTTGGGCTGTGAGCCGCATGGATACCAGATGGCACCTGGAAGCACTACTGGGTAG